GAATCTTAGTTATGGTGCCATTTGGGTACATTACAACTACCTCATCCTGGTGAGTGGGTTTTATCATTAGGATATGTGGTAATTCTTTGAACTAGTTTCCTATTAGTAGGCATTTAGGTTGTTTTTTGGTTGTTTTCAATGTGACGGTAATGATGCATTGGACAAATGGTTGCACTTTTAACTCTGGTTGTGATACGGTTTGACAGGCTGAGCATGTCACCTGATTCTGTTGTTCTTCATATAAGGCATGTAGGTAAACTTTACAATCTAAATAAAATGCTGTGAGCAAGAGTTTAAAAAATATCCTAGTGTCCATCATACAGAGATGAAAAGTATTGTATATGGACATTTTTTAATTTTAGAAAGTTTCTCTCTCTCTCATCTAGTACATATTTGTTTACATGATTAGTTCCTCCAGTTAAATTATGTATTTCTTGAAGAAAGGTACTGCGGTTGGTTTATTTCTATTTCCTCGCTTCCTACTAAAGTCCTGGCATAGTCAGGACTCATGTCTGTTGAGTGAGTGAAAGTTCGTTATATGAAGAAAGAGATTAGAGCTATAATCTTCTATTAGATGTTTCTGTCAGCTCATGTTCTACCTTCAGAGATTATCCCTAGGAAATGAGAAGTGTCATATTGTTCCTTCTCCTTCCTGCATATTGTTCCTTCTCCTTCACACCCCTCCTTTTTTAAATTGTCTGTGATATTTGATAAGTGGAACCAAGCTGGATTGAGTCCAGTTTACATATTTGACATAAAGCTGTTTCACTTCACATAATGAAAAATTTTCCATATTATGTGTCAAAATAGAAGAAGCTTTAAAATAAAAAAATTTTAAAAATTAAAAAAAAAGAAAAAGAAAAAAAAGAAGCCTTAAGCAATAAGTTAATCATTTTAATTAGTTGCAAGGTTTGAATATTTTTTAGCTGAAAGCTTACTGGAAAAAAAAGAAAAGAAAAAGCCAAACTGTAAGTTCCCACCTAGCCCAAGCCAAATGACAACTTTGGAAGCAATAAATGAATGCTCTAAACTCTCTTGGGTCTTGGAAACTATACCTACCCTTGTCAAAGAGTGAGGGAATAAGAGTATATGTCAATTTAACCACACTGAACTCCTTGAGGGCAGGACTTATTCCTGTTCTATCTTTGTATTCTAGAAAATTGCCTGGCACATAGTGAGTGCTTGGTACATTTTTACTAAATTAAATTAGAATTTTGCAACATTTATACATATCTGTAATATATGTAATATATGTTTACGTATATATGTATATACATATATTGTATAAATATTCTATGTGGCTGAATATCCAAAAAAAGCAGGCTATGCCTTATATTTATCTATATACAAGCTGTAAAGAGCCCATAGTACTCATTTGTGTGTGGCCATAGCTAAAGTTAATTGTGCTATAGAAGTCCATCTACTATGTGTACATGGTTAAAGCTACTCTGTCTAGAGCCAATCCTTTATAATACTGTCTCTATGAAACATTTTCCTAAAAAAAATGGTAAAATGATCCATTACAATATATACTGAATGTATACTTTTACACTCAAGCCAACTGGAGATAGTGCTATTACACTTCAACTAGTAAGGTGACCTATACCACACAGCCCATCCTCTCAGCCAAGAGGGGGCTCCACGACACCATCATGAGCTCAATATAGTTGCTCTACTGTTTTATGTATTTTTAAGACTTGATCTGTTAAGGGTGGAGGTGTTAGAATCGGATGTTAGATGTGAGAATTTAGAATATATAACTATCTTTGTACTTTGAATCTTTCTCCTTTTATATCCTGTCATTCTTTGCTTTGTGTACTTTAATGCAATTATTTAGTGGATAAATTTCACCTGTTTTGTGGATCATTGCATTTGATCATTATAAGTGATCCTTTTGTCCTTTTTAATACTTTTTTTTTGCCTTGACTTCAACCATGCTGACATTAATATTACAAACTTGACTCTTTTCCCCCTTGGAATATTTTTGCCCATTTTAAAAAAAGTTTTATTGGGGGACAGTGTGTTTTTCTAGGACCCATCCGCTTCAAGTCAAGTAGTTGTTTCAATTTAGTTGTGGAGGGCAAAACTCAGTGGCCCTTGTGGGGATCAAACCGGCAGCCTCAGTGTTAAGAGCACTGCACTGTAACCAACTGAGCTAACCGGACACTCCTGCCCGTTCTTTTATTTGTGATTTTTCTAAGTCTCTGTGTTGCAACTTAAGTTTTTTCTATTCAGAAATCAATTTTGGTAAATAGTACAAGATACAGGTTTAACTTACATTTTTTCCTCCAGTTGTGTTCCTATATGTATTATACAATCAAGTCACTTAAAATGTAATCAAGAAAAAATATTTTAACGGAGTTTGCTTTTTTGTGCCCCAATAGCTCTAGATTTCCATGGCTCATCAAGATGTCCATCTTAATCTTAGGACTTGGCGTGGTTTTATTTACATTCAAAACTGTGTACCTTTATGAAGAGTTCAGTCTCAAACCAGAGATCCCTCGTCCTGCTCAGGCTGTCCAGATGCCAAAGCTTCTATCTGAAGAACGTCTCAGGAACCTCTTTACCTATGATGGAATCTGGTGAGATATCACATGTTCTCTCTTGTCCACCTTGGCCTGACATCTGCCTTGCTCCTCGGGTGGCTTGCTCTGCCCTGTTGTGCCCATTTTACAGATGGTTCCCTACCTTCTTGAACCTATGCTGTTGCTAAAATGATTCCAAACTGTGGGACCAGGAAAGGGCTTGGTCTCCAGGGCACAGTATCTGTTCTCTACAGCTAAGTCCCTTAAAACTTTGGAAGGCCCATTTAACCAAAACTACATGAAAGATGCTGCCTTTTTTGTCCTTCTGGCCTCCTCTTCTTGTGGGGCTGACATGCCACTGGCATTCCCATGACTCTCAAGTTTCAAGAAATTTGGTGCAGGGGATAATTCATGAGAGGGGGACTTTTTTCCCATCCCCCTTTCTTCCCCTCCTTGTGTCTCTGACAGGGGCCACTGCTGGGATTCCAGGGTCTCAGCCCAACTAGGACAGCGGGAATGGGAAAGGAGAGTCTCAGAACGACACACTGGATTAGGCTTCAGGCTTCCTCTCAGTCACCAGCTCACCCATCCAGTAATGTTCACAGTCCTCTTGCTTGTTTTAGGCTGTTCCCGAAAAATCAGTGCCAATGTGACATCAAACACCAGGGCTACAACTTTCAGGATGCCTATGGCCAGAGAGACCTCCCTGCAGTGAAAGTGAGGAGACAGGCTGAATTTGAGCACTTTCAGAGGAGGTAACGTAGGCGGTGAGGGTTCTTGGGTTCTGGGGAAGAGAAAAAGCTCTTTCTACTGTGTCCTGTGGGCATGGGTTTGAAGAGAGAAGGAAGATCTCCCCTCTTTCAGGGTCCCTGGGAGGAACTATTAGGAATAAACCAAGGGAAAAAAACTGAGGAAATAGCCCTTAAATGAGGATTTATAAAACTTTGCATGTATAAACCATTTCATAATGAAAAAGGAGCAAAGGAATGAAGACAGCTTGAAATGTCAGTGTGACGTTGGTGGCAGTCTCCACACATCCAGGCCATCACAGCAGGTGACTTTGAGGTCTCACCACGTTGCACTGTCTTATGCATTTATATTGAGAACATATTATCCCCCTGCTATGTGCAAGGTCCAGAGTTAAACACTCAGGGTGTCTTGACCAGGATTGTTGGTTGAAAAGAGCAAAAATGGATTCTGGCTGGCTTATATCAAAAGGAAATTTGTGGGGAAAATGGTGAGACCTTACCAAGTCCACATAGGAGCATTGCAAAACTATTGCCTACTGTTATTGTTGTGGCTTATTATTAATATCATTACTCTTATAGTTCTTCACAGGCAATACATGATCCATAAAGAAACACATAGATCACCTAAATATTAGATGGTTCTAAGTGCTATGTGGAGACGCAAGTTAAAATATTGTGGTAGAATGCTACCTGATGACATAAAATTTCACAGGATGATGAAAGTAGGTAACCTTGATTTCTGATTTGTATATCAAGCAGGAGTTCACCATGATCCCTCATAAATGAACATTCCAGAAGGGAGAGTTAATGCAGGGCTCAAAGTCAAGGTGGGCCTTTCATGATGGCAGCATGACAAGAAAGCGAGCCATGGCCCTTGGAACCTAGTGTGTCAGGGAAAAGGTGGTGGTCTGTGAGCCCAGAGTGAGGCCAGTCAGGGTGACCAATGTAAGCCAGGAAGGGGAGTGTGCATTTTGCTTTCTGGGTGACGGAAAGAATGGAACAGTTTTGAAAAGTTGTAAGTTATTATCTGAGATGCTTTTATAAACGATCACTCCGGCTTTTCTGTGGAGAATAAACTGTAGAGAAGGTAGAGGGAAGGCAGGGGGACCTGTTGAGTAACCCTTCTGCTGGAACAGTTGTCTGTGCTTTTATGATGAACTGTCCCCAGCTCACCACCTTAGTCTCAGTTCACTGAGCCCAAGTCATGAATCAAGGAAGGGAAAGGGTGAGTTGAGGCCCTCCAGGTTTGATTTGGGGAATCAACCACTACCACCCAAACTACATACAAATGGAAGACTCCCCAGAAGAAATATGCGGGCACCAACAGGAAGGAGCGTTGAAAGTCGGAGAGCCAGTGAAATTCACAGGTGATCCTGGCCTGGATTTGAGCTCTGATCCAATCTAGCTGCCTGAGGAGCAGTAGGGCTCAGTAGTTAGCAATGCTGCCAAGTGAGGCAGACTGGCTACGTTCAGGTCCTGTGTCTTCCATGTCCCAGAGAGGTGATCTTGGGCAAGCTGCGTAACCTCCTCTTGTAAATGGCAATAACAATAGTACCTAGAGTTGTTGTGAGCGGTAGTTGATACATGGAAGGACTTAAAACTGTGTCAAGTTTATAGCCTCGATGAGATTATAGGATAGTGCAGGAGAGAAGCAAAGTATATAAATAACCATAACTCGATGTGATAAGCTCTCATGCCAGGTGGAACCTGGGCCCTGCCTCTGTGTTCCCATAACCCCCTCTGCCTACTTTCTGCCAGCGCGGCTTCCACTGTTTGTCTCCTGGTCTCTCTTCACCACTGTCTGCGAGGTCCCTGCAGTTGAGGACTTGAGGCGCCTGGCACAGAGGAGGGATCAACAAGGATCTGCAGCATAAATAGATGGTATGAGGGGAAACACTGGCACATTGGTACAAGATGATGGCTTTGCCTGTCCTGGGCAGTGCAGGGACTGCTGAGAGAAAGAATTCATGGCTGTCTCTAGCAGGGAATGCTTCTGGTGTGCAAATTGCAGGAGGTGCCTGGTGAGGAAGGGACAACAGGAAATTGGAGAGGGTGAGATAGGGAGGACATGAGGTGAGTAACTGTTGGGAGGGGGTACTGATCAGGGCAGAAGGAACTATAAGAAGGAACTGACTCTAAACAGAGAAGGCCAAAAAGCTGGCCATGTCCACACCTGCCCTCCCCTCACCTGTGGAAATGCCCAGCTCTCTTGGGATTATACCTGCCAATACAGGTATGAACAAAAACAGAGCCCAACAATAAAAACTGATGTGAACCAGGTCGCATGCCAATAAGGAAGTGGCGCAGTTTCTCACAGTGCCTCAAACCTCTCAAATAGCTGATAAAACACGCTGAACCTCTCTGCTTCATGAACAAGGCGCTGAGTTAGGCACAAAGAGAAATCTTCTCTAGATCCTGCTCTCCATGAGCTTGTGGTATAATAGAAAGGGATACAATCAGTGTGCCCTTCCCCAGAGTTATGTCCAATCAAATCACAGCTTCCTCAAGTCCCCATAATCACAAAGTGCCCAACCCAGCATTGAGTAAATGTTGGTAGTCTGTGGCCCAGAGAATGTAGTCAAGCAAATTATGTGGAACTCAAAAGTTCAATCAAATGTCAAGGTTATAATAGCAGCCAAATATATATAGTTGTGCTAGGTCTTGGGAAGGAGAGCAGCTTCCAGCTCTGAGAATTAAAAAAAAACAGTCAAGAAGGTGACATTCAGAGCTGACCTTATCTCTTCTTACTGAACAAGATTCTAATATTCTCGTTGGTGTTTGGGTCTGAGTTCTAACCTTCCCAGGAATGGAGCTTTATTCTCTTTTTTGTCCCCAGTTTAGCACAGGGCCTGGTAGTCAAGAAGTAAATGAAAAATAATAGGCCATGAAGTGATGTATGACTCTGGACAGAGCTCTGGGTTTGGCTCATTTCCTGCAGGAATAGAAGCAAGGTACCGAAAGTTTAGATAGTATACTACCATTTGTGTTTTTAAAAGTGGAGTAAGGGCCGGCTGAGTGGCTTGGTTGGTTAAGAGCTCGCTCAAGAGTTTGAGCTCTGAGCAAAAGCCGTTCAATTCCCAGCCCGAGCTGAGCTGCCAACAGGTGGCAGGATGGCTCAGCTAAAAAAAATAATAATAAAAATCACAAAAGTGGAGTGAATATTTGTGTGTATGAGTGCATGTGTGTAGGTGTGTTTATATATGTTGGGGGAGAGGTACGAACAGTAGTGGTAAATGTTTAACAATAGGTTTTTGAGGCTTTTGACCGTGGCTTGCAGTGTTTGCCAATTTCCATGGTTTAATAATCATACCATGGCAGATTTCAAGCTACCGACATGATGTTATTGAATGCAGAGTTGGGAAGACATACACAGTAGGTCACCATTACATAATATCTCCACCATACAAATACAATAGAATAAATAACCTCAAGGGTAGAGAGAATTGTAAAATGTAGTAAACTAATTAGAAAGCAATGATTTGTGAGTGTTTATTACCTTTTTTTCCCATTACATGATATTTAAAGTATATATAATTTAAATTTTATTAATGGCTGTGTTTAATAGCTGGCTTGCAAAATTCCTGAATATCCCAACAGTTGGTTTTCCTGTGCCAGTACAAACCAGCTCCAGCACACCACTAATTTGTTGCATATATATGTATATGAAAGAGAGAGAGAGAGAACCAAAAACACGTATACACATTTTAAGAAAAAATAAAACTGTGTTAAAATTATGCTGATGGTAACCACTTTGAATACCTTTTGTAATTGCAGAAATCAAACATGACTTGTATTTATCTTTTGTTATTGGTGTATATTATTACAATTTTAACACATTTTTTTCCTTTCTTAAAATGTATATACATTTTTTTGGCACCCTCTGTATATGTGTGTGTGTGTGTGTGTGTGTGTGTATTGTAGGGAAGGAAAAATAATTTTCCTTCTACCCTTCTATGTTCTTCTGGGTGGTCTAATAATCAAATTAATAAAATTAACAAGAGTAACAGGAGAAAAATTAATTTACTATGTGCAGACAGGAGAATCATAATCCGATGCTCAGATAATAAAATGAGGCTCAAAGAAATGAACCAGGCACAATTTTATACTTTTTTAGACAAAGAAACAATAAATTTGTGAGAAATTGACAGGAGAAGGAAAGTTAGTGCTCAGTAGAAAGGATTCTAAGTAAGGTTTGGGCTTGGGTAATAAATTAGTAAAGGAGTTACAAGGTTTGTTTACGAGTGTACAGATAGTTCAGCTCTGTGTGGTTTGGAGAGAGAGGTGTCCTCCAGGTGGGGGGAGGATACCTTTCACATGGTAGGTTTATTTCCTGAATTCGAGTAGACAAAGGAGAGTCAAGGTGCCCTTCTGGCACTGGCTGCTTGTCAAGTAACTTTAATTCAAAGTAATCAATATACCATTGTGGGATATTTGGGGGTGGTCTGTCTTGGGTCCCAGCACCTCTGATGAGGGCAAGTGGGCACGATTTTGCCTTATAATCTCCTTTCACACAAAGTGTCCAAGCTTACCAGTGGACAAGAGTGTTGGGCCAAGTCACTAAGGCACCAACATTCAATGGCTGACATGCTGGTCACCAATTTCGGGGTATCTGAGAGGTCCCAGGTTTGGGATAAGTTTTCTGCTACTCAGTTTCCTATACTCAGGAAGGAAGATTTTTTTTTTTTTAAGATTTTTATTGGGGAATTGAGGAAGGGAACAGCATTGGGGAATCGGGGAAGGGGAACAGACAAGTTGCTGTCGTTTTGGTCTTCAGTCTAGTTGTGGAGGACGCTGCTTCACTGGCCCAAGTTGGCACCATCATTGCTCTTCCCGGGCGAGGCACATCAGTCGCCGGCTTCTGGACGGCCGCTCACTGCGGCTGCTGGCCGCTCACGCTGGCTGCTGGCTACACACGGTAGCCCATGGCAACCCACTGCCACAGGGGCTGCAGCCTACGCCGTCACCGGCGACTCACGGCAGCCCAGCTCCAGGTTGAGCTGTTGTTCAGCATCTTAGCTGTAGAGGGCAGTGTCACTGGCCCTCATATGTGGGATCCGAACCGGGGCCCTCTGGCATCCCAAGCCAGTTCTTAACCATCACGCCACTCGGCCGGCCCAGGAAGGAAGATCTTGCTTGGGGCTAAGGGTGTCTTTCTCCTCACCCCAAACCTCAAGCACTCAAGATCTTCACATTTTCCCCTCCAGTCTGAGGAACCACTCCACCCACCACCACCAGTCCTTGTAACTAAACTACACCCTGGATAAACTACACTCAGATGCAAACCTCCATCTCAGCTCATTCTACTCCTTTGCACACTGCTCTGAGCTTCATTTAGCATCTTCAGGCTGTAAACCTGCCTCTTTCAGCTCAGCAAGTACTAACATTATTGGCCTGGGTCATGGTTCCCCAAAGTTGTTCTATCCCAGCACATCTGGGGGAGTGGGCCATTCTACAACTTCTTGGTAACAGCAAGTGGTGATTCTTCTGGGGGTGACGGTGAGGGGTGGTGAGGCTGGATTGTAGAAGGGATTGTGTAGTTTGAGAAAGCCCTTCCAGTCTGTCACTTCCATCTCCCCATGCCCCACTCCACCAGGTTGACAATCACTGCCTTGTATTAATTTCCAGAGCTTGTTGCTCTGTAGGCATTCCCAAAGCCTAGCTAAGCCTTGTGCCTTGATACTCCCATCGGATTGGTGGCTTCTGTGGATGGAACTGTAGCTCTCCCATCAGCCCAAGAGCTCTGTGAGAGCTCAATTGTCCTCCATCAGACTGGAAGGTTCATGCATACAGACCCTATGTCTCCTTCTTTAGACTGGGTGCTCCCAGAGCTGGGACTTCAGCCAAAGAAATCACGTATGGTAAATAACCCAGAATCCTTGACTCCCTGGCAAATGTCACATAAACTATCTGGGGATATAAAATGGAAATGCTTCATAACTTACATACTTCCTATTTTGTGAAGGAATCCGGCAAGACCTCATTTGGAGACCACATCTATTATCCTCTGCCAGAGAGAGTATGTCTGATGTGGGAAGGTGTGACCCAGGGGTCCACCCAGGATGCCCAAGACCTCTGTGTGCTCTTTCCATGCTTCTTAATTGTCTGTATCCTTGAAATTATTAGTGGAGCTTTGATAGTGGGTAAGATCTCCGATTCATGTGATTCTGACCGGTCAGTCTGGTCTTATGTGTTAGCTCCATATTATACTTCAATTAAAATATAGCACATGGATGATACTACTTTAAAAAAAAAGTCCTCTTGAACCAACCCCCTCACCCACATTCTCTTTCCTTCCTTGTGTGATACACCCCCTTGCCAACCCAGCTGAGGAATCTGACATTATGATTTTGGTATATATTATTCCATACTATTTCTTATATTGTTACACACTCAGATGAACACACATAGTAACGCATATATTTATGTGTATATATACCCATATAAATATATACATATGTAACTGGTACCCTAAGAACAAATCACTCTGAAATTTGCTTTTTTCATTTAATTATATATATATATTTTTTTATTTTATTTTATTTTATTTTATTTTATTTTATTTTATTTTTATTTTTTTAAAGATTTTTATTGGGGAATTGGGGGATGGGAACAGTGCTGGGGAATTGGAGAAGGGGAACAGACAAGTTGCTGTCCTTTTGTTCTTCAGTCT